AAAATGAGGCAATCTGGCATCTGATGTTTGGTTAGTCCACTGGCCACAAGATAATATTGGTGCAGCAATGCCTGGAAAACAATATGGAGGTTCCTCAAAAAAGTAAAAATAGATCTACCATACAATTCAGCAATTCCACATCTAGGTATAAGCCAAAGTAAATGAAAACAGGATATCAGAGAGAGATCTGCACTGCCATGTAATGGTAGCATTATTCACAATAGCCAAGATAAAGGAAACAACCAAAGTGTCCATCAATAGATGAATGGATAAAGAAGGTGTGGTATAAATATACAATGGAATATTATTCAGCCACAAAAAAGAAGGAAATCCCACCATTTGCCAAAACATGGATGGACCTTACGGACATTATGCTAAATGAGGTAAGTCAGACAGAGTAAGATGAATATGTGTGATATCACTTACATATGGAATCTAAAAAAAGCCAAACTCCTAAAAAGAGTATAATAGTAGTTACAGGGGCTGGAGAGTGGGGGATAAGAAAGGGTACAATCTTGCAAATGATAGTGACTGACTTCTAGAGATCCAATGCAAAGTACATTTATTATTACAACATTGTACAATATTTGAACTTGCTAAAAGACTATGTCTTAATTATTCCAATCACAAAAAATAAATAATTACACGATGTAATAGAGGTGCTATCTATCACTACAATGGCAACCACATCACAATATTTTAATATATCAAATCAACATGTGCACCTTAGATTAGCATCACATTATTTGTCAAATTTATCTCAGTAAAAAGATCAAAAGACATTAATATAGTTCATCAAAATAAATAAAAATGCTCTTTAAAATATGAAATGATGCTCAATTTCATTCATAGTAATAAAAATGTATCATAACTAAAATTGGATGCCATTTTTTACATTTCAAATTGGCAACACTGCAAAATCAAAGCAAAAAATGTTAGCAACACTTGTAGAAAGTAGAAATCCACATGCAAATACAATTAGGAAAAAAATTGGCAAAATTTATCAAAATTATACTTCTAGGAATATATTCTAATGAAAGCATTTTTTGTATTAGATTGATATTTGTGACAATACTAATATTTCATTATCTTTATCCAAAGTTAGTAATCTAATGTATTTCAATCTTATAATAGCAAAAGATTGGAAGCAATGTAAATGTTTATATATAAGGCACTTATGAAGTAGCCATTCAACAAAATACTATACAGTTGTAACTAAGAACCTGGAAGTTCTCCAGATATGTGAAAATTTTAAAAGTATATGTAAATAAAAACATGAAGCAAATCAAATGTGACATAATTTTAAACATTTGAGTGTAGGAAAAATAAAATTCATTTCATGTTGATATAAAAAACAAACGATGAAGAAAAGGAGATGAGATAATATCTTCATGATGCAAAATAAGATTGTATTTTTAAAATTTTATGTATCAAAAATTACAGGTTTAAGTCATTTTAAGTTATAAAAGTAACTAATAGAAAATTAAAAATAGTATAAATCTGAAACTTTAAGAAGGGGGAAAGAAGACAATGCAAATGGTTTACATCTTTACCTTCCATATCAGTGGCTATTAAATATTGCCTACTGCTTTTAAATGAAGGAAGGAGAAAAACAAGCATGTTTTCTTGAATCATACAACAAAGCCAGAAGAGACTGCCTTTAAGGAATGGATCTGGGAGTAAGGAAGGAAGTAGAACTATTATTTCTATTTAACTTGATTTGTTGCCAAACCCATGGACTACTTTGATTAAAAAAAAAAGTATCTTTGACAGAAGTTAGTAAATATAGGCAAAATTTCATATAACCCTTCGTGTTTAAGATTCAAGCAGCAGAAACTTTGTATGATCTTATCCACCACAAAGTTTCAATCACTTTGGCATAAATGTTAATAAATAAGACATAATAAAGAGCTCTTATCCTACAAATCTGTAAGAAGAGAATAGTACCCAATAGGAAAATAAAAGGTAAAATAGATAAACAGTTCAGAAAATAATTACATGTGGCTAATAAACGTGTTTAATGTTTAATCTCACTAATAATGCAAGTTAAACCTACAGTGAGTTGTCACGTTTCCCATGAGAAATTGGAGATGATTTACAACAATACATGCATGTATAGAAGTTGTGGTGAGGCGGAACTCTCATACATAACCAATTTAAGCATAAATTAGTTAAAACAACTTTCTTGAAAATATCAAGTACAAGTAAGAATCCTTAAATATTTATACTTTTGATGTACTACCCTTATTTCTGGAAATCAATCTCAATAAAGTAATCCAAGATACTATAAAACATTAATGTATATGTTTCACAGCCCTATTTAACAGAATGAAAACTGGCATCAATCTAAGTGATCAACACTAATATTTAAATAAATGATGTACATCCATTTTAGAACATATTATTTAATAATTAAAATGTCATTATAAAATGTATGTAATCAAATGGAAATGTCTATGCATGATTAATGAAAAACTCAGGATACAAAGGCATTTCAAAATGTTAATAATGGTTATTTCTGGTTAAATATATTACAAATTATTTTTTTCTATTTTTTCCATATTGTCCAATTTTTCTACAAGGAAGGTATTTTTAGAATAAAAACAACAACAACAACAAAATTACTTCATTAAAAGTTAATAGAGTTCTGCTCCTGGTGATAGTAGAGTAGCTTGTAATGGATGAAAACTATAGATGAAATTATAAACACTGGACATAACTGAGAAAACAAGTAATCAAAAGCTGAAAGAAACTGGAAGAGTCGATCTCTGAAATAAGAAAATGCACTTGGTAGGTTTGCATTTATGCAACTTTTCATGTGAGAGAACTCCTCATTCTACACGTTGTGGCCTGTTTCAGAAAGCCTGAGTCTTACTGGCTTGGCTTTGGGGTTGCCATACTATATAGAACATGCTAAAGGAAACCATGGAAAGGAAAGAGTATGGGAAAGTCCAAAACTCTGCATTTAAAATCTTCCCAACCCCTTGGCTGGCCCCTAATCTATTAAAAAACTGACCAAAAAAAACAAAAACAAAACTGACACCTGAGTGTCTAAGAAAAAAGTGACAGACTCTCAGTCATTTTAGCTGCTACCAACCACAAAGAAGCAAGCGTTTAGAGTTTGAGTCTAGCCAGAGTAATTCCTGATTAAACAACTATAAACACTGCAGGGGAGAGTAGCAGAATTTACTGTCTAGAGTGGTTTTATTCACAATTTTCTGTTTATAAACAAGAATTCCTAAATAAGGAAAACATCAAAAAATCTGATTCACAGGGAAGTGGAATGTCAGTCATCAGGAACCAACTAAAACATACAGATGTGGGCAGCCCAGGTGGCTCAGCAGTTTAGCGCCGCCTTCAGCCCAGGGTGTGATCCTAGAGATTCGGGATCAAGTCCCATATCAGGCTCCCTGCATGGAATGGAGTCTGCTTCTCTCTCTGCCTGTGTCTCTGCCTCTCTCTCTGTGTGTGTCTCTCAGGAATAAATAAATAAAATCTTTTTAAAAATAAAATAAAACATACAGATGTCACAATATAAAGCAGTTATTTTACTATAAATACGTTCAGAATAAAAAGATGGAGAATTTCAACAGAGAGATAAAAATTACCAAATGATGGAGACTCAGCAGTACTATATTTGAAATTTTAAAAATCAGTGGATGAGGTTAACAGAAAATTGGAGATGGAATTAGTGAACCTGAAGACAGATCAGTAGACACTAATCTCAAAAAGAAAAACAAAATAGAACCTCAGTTACATGAGGATAATAACAAACAGTCTCATATTTGAGTAGTCAAAGTCACAAAAGGAAAGAAAAGAGACTAGGACCAAAAATATATACACACATATATATACACAGAGACACATACACACACATATATGTATATTAAAATGTGTGTGTAATAAGGTTATAGTTGCAAACAATTCTCAAAATTCTTGAAACATAAACTTACAGTTTGAGAAAATCAGTAAAGCACAAGCAAAATAAATACAAAAAAAAATACTAGGGCTTATCATAGTCAGACTGTAGACAGCCAGAAAAAAAGATGATACATTACACACAAGAGAACAGTAATAGGAAGAACAGCTGACTTACTTTCAGAAAGAATAAGAGGTGTGTGTACATTCATTAAAATGTATTGAATTGTGCACTTGAGATGTGTGCATTTCACTCTTTGTACATTTAATCTAAAACACTATAAATAGATATTGAATCCTAGTTTGTAGGTTTGCTTTTTCCAACAGTGGTATGAATTAGCAATTTTAATGCCATATACCCTAGCTTGAGCAGAAGTGTAACTATAGTGACGATAATGAAAGCTAGGTTTCTCATCACTGGGGAGGAGAGTTACAAATATGGAAAGAGGAAACACTAAAATACACTCTGCCTGCTGGACTGGAATTAGAAATATGAGTAAAACATATAAAAACAGATATAGGGATAAATATAAATCTATACATATATGTGTATCTGTGTACATACATATATATGTGTTTATATAGATGTAGGTTCTATTTATATGTCTATATATGTGTGAATTTGTATGTGGGGGGTGTGCATGTATAAATCCCTACATATATATTTCCTAGGCTACCTGATAAAGGGACCTAGAAACAATGACCCATCAGTAGTACTGAGCATACCTAGTACCCAAATTTTAGTTTTTAAAGACTATTTCCACTAAAAGAGCAGGGAATTTTGCAGAGAAGTCTAGGATATCCTGTTGCATCATAAAGAAAGGAAGAGCTAAAGTAATGCTAGTGACATATCAAAAGAACACAGGCCAATTTGAAAGGGATCTCACTGGCCAAATTTTGAACAATTTGAACGTTAAAATAAATACTGATGGAAATGGCTTATATCCCATTGAATAAAATAAAAATCTATTCGTTTATTTGGTATAAATAAATAAGAGTACATACATTGATGGGGAAGAAGGGGCAAGTTCTTCCTTGCAGTAGATCTCATAAATATAGAAGGATGTTTAAACTAGTAGGCAGTGCCCACTTTGGCAGCACATATACTAAAATTGGAACAATAGAGAAGATTAGCATGCCCCTTGCGCAAAGATGACATGCAAATTCGTGAAGCATTTCATATTTTTGAAATTAGTAAAATGTGACCAAAGATTGAAATAATATAGTAGAAGTGAGAACCAGGAGGATGAGACAGATTGACCAGGGTTGGATATACGCAACTAACAGATCTACCAACAAACACTAGAACTCAGACTGTGTATAAGTGGACCAAGTAGCCAAGAAGACCATACGTCACAAAATACTAATATTAGTATTAGTAAAATATATAGAAAAAAGCATAATATAGAACATGCTTTGTCATTGAATATACTTTTAATTTTCTGATTTTTCTGAATCTATTATAAAATTAGTAGTTTCCAACCCTTGTTTTATCATTCATTTGTATCAGTAAAAAAAAAAAAAAAAAGGAAATGTAAAAAAACCTAGTAGGCAAAAATTTGATGAAAAGCAGTGTATTTGAGTAAGTCTCAAAATATCTCCCTCTCAGACTGCTTATTAATTTCAAAGGAAAAAATCGTATAAAACTTGACAGATACCACCTTAACCATGTGAAAGAACCCAATTGTGCAACTCTGATATGATACCTTGAGAAGGATACAACACACTCTTTGGTAGTCCTACTAAAAACACATCACATCAATCTCATGATAAAGAAACACCAGACAAACTCAAAACAGAGAAATATTCTACAAAATAACTCGTCAGTGCTATTTAGAAATATCAAGGGCAGAAGAGATAAGGAAAGAATAAGGAACTGCATGCAATGAAATGCATGATCTTGTCCTTCATAGGGGGAAACAGGAACTAGCTATAAAGGACTTTATTGGGGGCAGTTGATGAGATTTAATAAGGAATATAGATTAGATTATAGCACTATTGTATTTCCTTTTATCATTGTATTGCGGTTACATAAGAGAATGTCTTTGCTCCTAGGAAAAAACATACTTTTTTATGGGTAAGTAGCTACATCTCCAATTTGCTCTCAGGTGGTTTGGAACGTGGTATGTTTACATAAATATATGGGTCAGGGACACCTGGGTGGCTCAGTGGTTGAGCGTCTGCCTTTGGCTCAAGGCATGATCCTGGAGTCGCAGGATCGAGTCCCACATCGGGCTCCCTGCATGCCTGTGTCTCTGCCTCTCTCTTTCTCTCCCTCTGTCTCTCATGAATAAATAAGTAAAAATCTTTTTTAAAAAAATATGGGTCAAACATATATGCAGCCAATAATCTGTATTTGTGAATTTACATACTCATTAAATTTATTTGTAACCCTAATATCAATTTTTTTTAGTTTTTTTTTTAATTTATTTATGATAGTCACAGAGAGAGAGAGAGAGAGGCAGAGACACAGGCAGAGGGAGAAGCAGGCTCCATGCACCGGGAGCCCGACGTGGGATTCGATCCCGGGTCTCCAGGATCGCGCCCTGGGCCAAAGGCAGGCGCCAAACCGCTGCGCCACCCAGGGATCCCCCTGTAACCCTAATATCAATACAGTGCTTTAGCAATCATTCACAGACAGAGGCAAAGCAGCAAAGAATTTGAATCTCTTGACTTGCATGTTCCCAGCTTGTGCAGAAAACAGACACACTTGGCCTTCTTTCAGCTCTCATCTTATAAATAAGTATCCTTCTTATGGTCTCTTTAGTGATATGTTTTTTGCATTTTTGTATTTTTTTAGTGATTTTGATATTTAAAATGACCCTCCATTGCAGAGCAGAAGTCCTGTCTAGTGTGTTCCTCAGCTCAAGAAAGCTGTAATGTGCCTTTCAGAAAAATACATGCATTAAATAAGCTTCTTTCAGGCATGAGTGAATGTGCTGTTGGTCAGAGGTTCAGTATTAATGAATCAACATTGTCCATTGTATTGATTATCTTGCTAACAAATCAAATGTTTTAAATAATATCATTTATTATTTATATATGAAATAAGTTGCCTTTAAACAGAAACACACATAAAGTCAAATAACGATCATTTGATTAAAAAAGAAAAAAAAAAAAAAAGCTTGTGACCCAGGACTCATAGGAACCTAATCCCATATTTCCCCTAGAAGTGATAGTTCCAGATTCACTCACTCAGTGTTCATAGTGGCGTTAGAGGACATGACTAATACAAAAAATGGCAATTCACTATACATAAATGATAGCTAGATTAAATATAGATACATAATTGGCTATATATCTACACATAGACATAGAACAAATAGAACAAAAAGTCACAGTTGTTGCTGAATCTGAGGTAAAGGTATATGGCAATCTCTATTATATTCATGCAACTTTTCTGCCAGTGTAAAATGTTATCAAAATAAAAATTTGCCAAAATGTATAACAGATGCATTATTACAAGATGCTCTCCCTACAAGACACACCAATTGGATTCTCTCTGCCTAGAAATCTGAAATCATATGGGAATACAGTCGTCTGTGTGATATTTCTGGACAATTAGAGTGAAAAAGAAAGAGACAGAGAGACTGATTTAATAAAAACCAGGCATTAGTAAAATTCTGTTGTTCATGCAGAAAAGATGAAGTAATCAAAATACACAAAAGAGAAGCAATGTTTTTTTGTTTTTTGTTTTTGTTTTTGTTTTTGTTTTTTTAGGTGGCTATTGGGGCTCATGGAATGTGCAGTCTGAAGAAGACATAGTAAGTAGCAGCATTGGAAATGGCAGTGGCCTTCTAGAGACTGGTTCTGTTGAGGGCCTACAAAAAAAAAAAAAAAAAAAAGTGGTGGTGGTTGGGAGACAAAGTCACAGGGAAAAAAAGGTCCAGGTCCTCAGAAAATGATGACAGGCAGTTGGAGGTTCTCTTTAAAGTACACATAAAATTAGCTTTTCCCTATTGAAGTAAACTGGCTTAGATTAGAGAAGTTCTATTTTGCCAAAAGGAGCTCTCTTCACTCATTCCTCCTTTCATTTCTGGGTGGCGACCATTAAAGCACTGATCACAAATAGTCTGCGGATTTTACTTTTAATTAAAATATGTCCCTTATATTATGGAGCCATTAGCTCCTGACATTAGATTGTACCACTCATTTCTAATATTAATGGATCTGGGCTCTCAGCACTTTGAGTTATAATTTTAACATTAAGACTCATCTTTTTCAAAATTAAATACCTATCCTTAAAAAACTTAGTTAACACACATATATAGTTTCTATAATGCCGAACATCTGATTTAAAAAAAAAAACTAATACTGTTGTTGTTTTCAATGTTTTTATTCATTGTTTTCACTTTAACTGATTATTTTAATAGATATAGCTCAGATAATTTCACACATATTGATTTTCCCAACCAAGCCTTGGAGAAAAAAATCATAAAAAATAATAAAAAATTAATAAAGTAAGTCATTCAACTTAACTATTTAAATGAAAAGATAACGATTTTCTTGAGACCATTGTATTAATATTGCAATTGAATGAAAGGCACAAGACTTAGGACTCTATTCTGCTCAACAAGTGTTTATCAACACTTACTATGTACTGGAAGGCCCCGGTCTTCAAGGAGCTCCCACAACATACACACATATACACATAATCAATCACATTGATCACAATTGTGATCAATTATATCCTAGCTAGCAGAGGTTGTAAAGAATACTGGGGAAAAGATTATTTAATGATCACCTATAATACACTAGCCTACGACACTTCATCTTTATAAAATCTCATGATGTCCTATTTTACAGATATGCTTTGAGGTTCAAAGAACTGAAATCATCTGCTCATGGTAAACAGAACTGAAATTCAAACCTCTCCCTACTTCTAATAGCTGTTTATATCTCTGTTTTATTATTTTTTAAAAAATATGCCATTGAAGTACAGATAAAGGAGTACTTCATTCTACCTTGATGACTTAAAGAAGGTTTTCAAAAAGAAGTGGCATGAATTCTGTCCTTAAAAAATATTATAATGATCGGGCTCCTGGAAAGCTAAACCACTATGGGATATTAGATCTGCATTCCTGAGGAAGAATCAACCTGCCAGTGTGGATCTGGTGGACTGTGGATAATTTGAAGTTGATTTGGAGGCTTCTAGCTCTAGAGATGTCATTCATTAAAGTAGGAACCACAAAATGAGAGCAAGTTTGTAGCAAGATAATTCACTGAAGTGAGTAACTCACAACCAATTATTATATTGACACATTGTCCTTACCTGACTTTAAGGGTAAGAAAGGTAATAATTGGGCACAAGAAGGAAATAAGAAAATTATGCTTTTATAAACTGAAATATGTGTAAGCCCTTGGGATTATCTGAAAGCTCTATAAGGAAATGCTTTATATGTATAAGTGGAAAAAATATTTTTCAACAACACAATTTTTTTTTAGCCAAAATTGCCTAGTTTTTGTTTGTTCTTTTTTTCCTACTGCATGCTGGGAAAACTGTCAGCAATTAATTGTCTTTTGAAGTTGCAGTCTTTTTGAACTGCAAGAAAATATAATGCAAAACATTTTGAGCCAAATAACACATTAATGTGACCCTAGATTTCAAACCCATGATTATTTAAGATGCCTGAAGTTATCCCACTCGGGTGTTTAAATTCTTCTAGATGCTCCCAAAATAATTCCTTCTGACCCCACGTTAATTGTCAATCTTCAGAGTCTGGCTTTTGCCAAAGAGAGCTAGGGGTCACAGGGAAACAGAGACTCCCAATACGGATTAACACACTAGAGTCTGTTAAACTGGGATCCAATTTCCCAGGTGTCTTCCCACTTCCTGTTGCTCTGACAACCTCCCTTTTGATTAGGGTGGAAGCAAGGGGGAGAAAGTTAAAAACAACAACAACAACATGAAACTTACTAAGGCAAAAATAGTATAAGATTACCATTCTAAGTCAGTCTCATATTTTATTCATAGTGTCATTTTTTAACCTAGAGAAGGAACAAGTGGTGTTTGGTAGTGGGGGAGATGCTACTGCCTTCCCCCTAAAGAGTAATCTTACGTGATTAGGTGAAGAAACCTAACTATCTCTATTCTGTCTTCCTGAAACCTCTATAGCCTTTTGAAGTAATAAATTCTGTGGCTTTTCTGTCCACAATGTAAAGCAGTACTTTCTTGTCATTCTCTGAA